CGGTCACTCAAGGCTAAGCAGTCACTCTGTATCTGAGTGGTCACTCAGGGTCAGTGGTCACTCAGGGTCAGCGGTCACTCGAGGCTAAGCAGTCACTCTGTATCTGAATGGTCACTCAGAGTCCAAGCGGTCACTCAGTGTCTGAGTGGTCACTGGGATTGAGAGGTCGCTCGGGGGAAGAATGGTCACTCGGTATCTGAACGGTCACTCAGTGTCCGAGTGGTCACTCAGTGGCCAGTCACTCAGGCCCAGAATCTGAGCGGTCATTCAGGGCCGAGCGGTCACTCAGGGTCTGAGAGGTCACTCGGATTGAGAGGTCACTCGGGGGCAGAGTGGTCACTCGAGGCTAAGTGGTCACTTGGTGTCTGAGAGGTCACTCAGAGTGAGTGGTCACTAGGGGGCAGAGTGGTCACTCAGGGTCAGTGGTCACTGAGGGCCAGCGGTCACTCAAGGCTAAGCAGTCACTCAGTATCTGAGTGGTCACTCAGGCCCAGTGGTCACTCAGTGTCCGAGCGGTCACTCATGGCCGCTGTGGCTGCAGTGGTCGCTCAGCCCCGGGCGGTTCTTGTAGCGCTTCCCGCAGACTGCGGACACAGGGCAGCGGCACTCAGTGGCCGAGTGGTCACTCGGTGGTCACTCGGTGGCCGAGCGGTCACTCAGTGGCCAAGCGGTCACTCAGGCCCAGAGTCCGAGCGGTTACTTGGAGCTGAGTGGTCACTCAGGGTCTGAGTGGTCACTCAGGGTCAGTGGTCACTCAGGGTCAGCGGTCACTCTGTATCTGAATGGTCACTCAGAGTCCAAGCGGTCACTCAGTGTCTGAGGGGTCACTCAGGGTCTGAGGGGTCACTCGGGGGCAGAGTGGTCACTCAGGCTCAGAGTCTGAGCGGTTACTCAGAGCTGAGCGGTCACTCAGTGTCTGAGTGGTCACTTGGTGTCTGAGAGGTCAGTCAGATTGAGAGGTCACTCAGAGTGGTCACTTGGGGTCTGAGTGGTCACTCAGTGTCCGAGTGGTCACTCAGAGCCAGTGGTCACTCAGGCCCAGTGGTCACTCAGTGTCCGAGCGGTCACTCATGGCCACTGTGGCTGCAGTGGTCGCTCAGCCCCGGGCGGTTCTTGTAGTGCTTCCCGCAGACTGCGGACAGTGGTCACTCAGTGGTCACTCAGTGGTCACTCAGTGGCCGAGCGGTCACTCAGGCCCAGAATCTGAGTGGTCACTCAGGGTCTGAGAGGTCACCCGGATTGAGAGGTCACTCGGGGGAAGAATGGTCACTCGGTATCCGAGTGGTCACTCAGAGTGTGAGGGGTCACTTGGGTCCAGAGTCTGAGTGGTCACTCGGGGACAGAGTGGTCACTCGGGGTCAGCGGTCACTCATGGTCAGCAGTCACTCGGGGTCAGCGGTCACTCAGGGTGAGTGGCCATTCAAATTCTGAGCGGTCACTCGCTATCTCAGTGGTCACTGTGGCTCAGTGGTCACTCAGGGTGAGCGGTCACTCAGGCCCAGTGGTCACTCAGTGTCCGAGCGGTCACTTGGTGGCTGAGCGGTCATTCAGGCCCAGTGGTCACTTAGAGTGAGCGGTCACTCAGTGTCCAAGTGGTCACTCAGAGTGAGCGGTCACTCAGTGTCTGAGTGGTCACTCAGGGTGAGCGGTCACTCAGTGTCCGAGCGGTCACTCAGAGCCAGTGGTCACTCAAGGTGAGCGGTCAGTGTCCGAGCGGTCACTTAGGGTGAGCGGTCACTCAGTGTCCGAGCGGTCACTCAGTGTCCGAGCGGTCACTCAGGGTGAGTGGTCACTCAGTGCCAGTGGTCACTCAGTGTCCGAGCGGTCACTCAGAGCGGTACAAGGACCCCCGATCCCCTAAATGGGATCAGAGACCCCAAAATCCCCCAAACCCCCCAAAACCAGACCCCAAAACCAGACCCCAAAACCCCCAAAATCCTCCCCAAAACTGGCACCGGGACCCCAAAATGTCCCAAAACCAGGACAGGGACCCCAAATCCCCCCAAAATCCTCCCTAAAACTGGCACCGGGACCCCAAAACCAGACCCCAAACCCCCAAAATCCTCCCCAAAACTGGCACAGGGACCCCACAACCCCCCAAACCCCCCAAAACCAGGACAGGGACCCCAAATCCCCCCAAAACCCGACCCCACATC